TATAAATACAATTTTCTTATAGTTGAATTTTTCAGCTAGAATCTGCATTTTAAAAATTTCCTTTGGATTGTTCCATTTAGCACTTCAAGTTTCTACTCTGCAACTCTAATAACTGGCTCAGATTTGTTGTTAGGTTTATATCAATAACATTGTTCAAAATTTACTACTGTGTTATCTGTATACAATAATAAAGTAAATGGGAGGAATGTGCCAAATTTCAAAAGCAACATAATGAAAAATTCAAGAATATTTAATATTACAGAAAGATAAACTACAACAGGGATCCTCTTTCACTGTTGCATTAGTGAAATATGTTTTTTTACGCTTTTAAAGCTAATGTCATAACTCTCATTTTTTAACTCATCAAGAGGATGTTTTTAGAAGCCTCACCTTTATTTTTAATCAAAAACTAAAACGACTGAATTACTTTTATTAATATACACATCAAGTTACTGAAACGGTGACTTCATGAGGTTTTCCCTTAAAGATGGCACTTGCAGGCACAAAGATGCAGAGATGTCTACAGCCTGCGGATGTTTACTTGAAAAGATTCTTCAACAGCAGTTTGATACTGGGTTTCTTCATCTAGGTGAAGATTCACAAATTCTCCATAATCAAATTGATGTCTCTGATTTAGATACTAACATAATTTCTAGTTATCTGGCGAGGATCTCCCCAAGGAAGAGACACACAAATGGGACATGTCACAGGAATTATCTGAAATAGGTGACTACTGTTACAGTGATCCAGTAAACGCTGCCTGGTAAAATTTGATTCTTGACACAGGGGACACTTAAAAGTGGGATGACCAGAGAAACTTGTATTCTCTTGGTAAGTTTCTGTGTTATCAGATGTGGATGTTTCACTTCTATTACTGTTCCCTACTGAATCTTGAGAGATCTGAAAGTTTGGAATGATAGCAGAAACACCATATTCATCCTGATACTCCTTAAAAGATTTGTAATGATGTCTCATGCGATAGAATTTAATCTGTTTTGCACAGCATCTGCAGCTACCAGAAAACTTCCTCATGATATTTTCAAGGCCTAAAGCCCGTTCGGGACATGCTCTCCCTCTTCTAGTCACATTTCCATGACGCAGGGGACAATGTGCTCCGCTTTCCCTCATTGCTCTCAGGAAACATTTTCTACAGAAAACGTGCTGACGGGCCGCGGTCCGCACAGGCGTTTTGACACCTCCTGACAGACTGGGCAGTAGAAATCATCTTCGGTGTAGGAAGTGGCAGCGGAGAGCTCTTCGGGCGTGGCGGGAGGGTGGGGGAACAAGGCGATGGCAATGGCTGCAGCAGCTAAGGTGACAGTGGTGGCCAGGGGCCCGATTCCCTGCGCGAACCCGGAGTGGGGAGGCGGCAATTTCTTAAAAAGTTCAACATATGTTTGTCATATGACCCAGCAATTTCACTCATTGGAATCTACTTAAGAGACAGAAAAGCATATGTCCTCACAAAGGTATGTGTTCAAGTGTTCAGAACAGCCTTATTCATAGTTGGACCAACCTGAAAACAATCCAAATATTCTTCATCTTGTAAATAGATAAACTAAATGGTTCTATATCCCTGCAAGGCAATATCATTCAACAATAAAAGACAACAAAAATTGACTTATCTGTCCAGAAAGATCCCGTGAACGCGAGGGCAGTTTTCCCAAGGCAATTTTCAACCCTTGCACTCCAGATGATGAGAGATTACTTAATGGGCGTAATGCATGTGATTGGGGTGATGGATACTGTAGAAATGCTGACTTA